TAATAAATGACCGAGTACCGCACACATTAGTCATGTAGCATGCAGTGGTTAGTTTTCTTCAACCAGTGATGCCGATAACGAGGTCCTGCATACCTCTCAATAGCACCCTATTTTAACCTGCCAATATTTCTTTGAATTCTGTTTATCCCGTTAATTTGGGAGTTCTCTTGAAGATGCTGGTTATTCGATTTTACCAGACACATAAGCGCGTTGGATCCGTCCATAACTTCTTGAACTATATGACTATTCAAACGGGAAGTTTAGTCCTAACGTGATTTACATTTCTCAAACTTTTGCTGTGTTCTTACGCAACAAAAGTACCATTTCCAATCCAAAGAATCTATTCTGAGCTATACGTTCGGTAGATTACTTCTTTTTTTGTGTTTCACTCAAATTAATAGTTAACTGTGGTTTTGCCTCAGCTCACTATCGGTTTTATATAGTTTTCACGTAAAGGCTAGCTTTAGCTTATCGTTAACTGTTTTTATACATTTTTGCCAGTTTTTGTTTACTGTGTGTTTTTTAACGGTCCTAAGTTTACTGCTTGTATTTTTAAGACAGTCTAAATCACTAGCCATGAAAAATTCATGCAAGAGACCTGGTTGCCGTTTTGCCGTTACATCTGGCATGCAGTGTGACAACTGTAAAGGTTGGTTCCATGAGGCATGTACAGATCTAACAGCAGCAGCCTATAGCAGACTCAGTAGGTCTGATCGTAGGTGGGTATGTGTTACCTGCAACACCGATACGGTAGTTATGTTGGGTACTATCATTATTTTACTGACAGGTCTGAGAGATAAGTTGTCTAAGAATTCGGTAAATGATAGCATCACGACGGGTAACAAAGCTGGAACGCATGGGGCAAATAAGAAAAAGGATACTGACGGGTCGGTTATCGACGGTACTGTTAACAGCACGAGTGATGATGTGCTGAAACTGAGCACCATCTTAACATCGACTGTCATCGACTCCCTCAGTAAACTTGGGTCCCCCAGGGAACGGTCCTTGAATGAGACAGTGGTTCCCGAAAATCCTGTAGGTGGTTGGACTCATGTTAACAAGAGTAATAAAGACCAAGCGTCCCCGCCGAAACTGAACGTCCCAAGAATCGTGCGAAAATCAATTGATGCTTTGGTCGCACAGTCTACACCCAAGACTGTCCGCCCGGTCATCACTGAACCCAGGAATCGAAAACGCGTCTCGACATCCAAAAAACAGGATACCAAACCTAGGCGCCCTGGAAAACCTGGGAAATCAATTGCGGTTCGTGACGACTCTGTCATAATCATGAACCTTATTGACAACCCCGACCTTCCTCTCAGTTTGCAGGACAAAAACGATAGGATGCTCTGGGGAGAATTAAACAAGAGGCTTGAACTCCCTAGAATAGAGCCTTTGACCGTCACATGGCTCACTCGGGGGAAGGACTCTAACCACCTAAACCACCTGAGGCTGCTTCGTGTTACACTTAAGAATGCCTCCGACGTAGAGGACGTCCTGCTAGCCAGTCACTTACTGAAGTCCGATGGGAACGTAAGAATACTGCCCGACATACCGTATTCTGAACGAAATTTCATCCGGAACATCCCTAAGGAATCTCGTGAGGCGTTTTTCCGTGGACGAAATATCATTGTTCAAGGTGTGCCAGAGAATATGGACCCAACTCAAGCAAACTCTGATATTCGGGAATGGAAATTCACCAAGCATTCCTTAAAACTCAAGAACATATTGACCAACACAGGTAATGCGACTAACCAAGAGAGACGGAGACTCTAGGCCCCGGCTGTTGAAGATAACTTTCCCCTCCTCCCACATGGCGGCTGCAACTCTGGAAGCATTTCGTGCCAATAGACGTCGGTTACCAACTGGCATCCATATGCATCCGGATAGGCCCCACGACAACAGGATCAAGCACAAGGGAAAGCTGGAGCTGACAATTCCACTCGTGGACTGTCTTGATCATAAAAAAAACGTGTAAAGGACAGGGACTACCAACTCCGTAAATATCGTATAGGTAGGCTACCTGTCCACTCACACACGGCTCATATAGACAAACAAGAAGAAGCTCACGCGTCCCAAATTGAAAGCATAAACTGCCTATACACGAACGCCGCGAGCTTGCCAAACAAAATGGATGAGGTATGTGAACTTAGAAACGCTAATGATGCCCATCTGATAGGAATATCCGAAACTTGGATAACGTCTCAGTTTACGGACCAAGAGTTAGCAATAACTGGGATGTCTTTGTTTCGCAACGACAGAAAAACAGGAATGGGGGGTGGGGTAGCACTATACATACGGTCATGCCTGGATGCGCACCAACTTCACAACCAAGAGTTTCACAATCTTGACGAGTCAGTATGGTGCTCAGTAAGATTATCTACCACCTCGAGGTGCCTAGTTGGGGTCGTTTACAGGAAGCCCACTGCCGACATCGAATATGACAAACGTCTGCTAGAAGGATTAACTCGCTCTACGCGTCTCGGATTCTCTCATATCCTGATTCTATGGGATTTCAATCTCCCTAGAATCAACTTCGTGGAACATACATACATTGGTGGTGCCAACTCTACTGAAGCTCTGTTCTTCAACCTTATCGGCGACCTGGGATTAGTTGAAAATGTGAAGTCGGCAACCCGTTGGAGAAACAGTCGGACGCCGTCACGCTTAGACTGGGTATTCACAAATGAAGAATTCCTAACTGACGACCTCTCAATCTTGGCTCCCCTGGGGAAAAGTGATCACGCCGTCTTATCATTCAGCTTTGTCAGCAAAACGGAGCTACGATATCCTACTAGCAACAAGCGCTGGAACTTCAAACGGTTGAATGTGTTAGATTTACAGGACTATCTACAAGAGGTGGATTGGGATGTTCACCCTCAAATTGAAGTGGATGCTCATTGTGATTTTTTACTGCACACGATCTTATGTGCTACTGAGCATTCAGTTCCTCAAATGGTCCCAAAAAGCTACAAACAACCTCCAATCATCAAGAACCGAACCCGTCGTTTGCTAAGCCGCAAAAGACACTGTTGGGCTGAATATAAACGAACTGATAACAACGGCGCGTACAGGCAATACAAACATATAAGGAACATATGCACAAAAGCAATAAGAGAAGACAGGCTTCAGTTCCAGACCAAGCTTATCGATAGATTTGTCTCCAATCCGAAGAGCTTATTCCGTTACGCAGCTTCTCTTCGACAAGGCAAAACTGGAGTTTCCCAACTGCTTGGTCCTAATGGCCCGACCAATAACGACAGTGATGCCGCTAACCTTTTGGCTGAACAATACTCCCGGACATTCCAGCTGACCCACATCAACCATACTGACGAAAGCTTCACCTGCACCTGTACGGGACTTTCCGAAGTGGACCTGAGTGCTGACCTGGTGCTCCGTAAACTGCAGAACCTAAGAAAAGACACTTCTCCTGGTCCGGACATGGTTCATTCCGCTGTATTGAGGGAAGCAGCTTCAATCCTGGCGACACCACTTAGCGTGATGTTTGCACACTCGCTAAGCAGAGGCAAACTACCGGAAATATGAAAGCTGGCCCACATCACACCAATTTTCAAAGGAGGTCGACGCAGTGAACCCTCAAGCTACCGACCAGTGGCCCTTCTCTCCATACCTTCAAAAATTATGGAATCCCTAATATACGACGGTATACTAGAATACTTATCATCCTCAAAGTTCTTCTCGCCTCAACAGCATGGTTTCAGAAAAGGTCATACGTGTATGACCAACCTGCTGACTAAGGCGGATAGATGGACAACCATCTTTGATCACAAGGGGAAGGTTGACGTCATCTACCTGAACTTCTCAAAAGCTTTTGATAGGGTCAACCATGCATGTCTTACCAAGAAGCTTAGACGATTGAGTATAAAACCCCCTTTAATTGATTGGCTCTCTTCATATTTAGAAAACCGACACTTTAAGGTCAGGGTTAACTTCACTCTCTCTCAGGCTATGGAATGTCCTAGTGGGGTCCCTCAGGGTTCAATACTTGGACCTCTTCTCTTCTTGATTTATATTAACGATCTTCCTCAACAAGTTTCATCTGACTTATTGCTTTTTGCTGATGATGTGAAACTTTGGAGAGAGATACGTACTCACAATGATATACTAGTTCTTCAGGAGGATCTGACTCGACTTCAAAGTTGGGTAGACGACAACGGAATTACCTTCAACACTTCAAAGTGCAAGGTAGTCCATCTGAGACATGTTGCAGACTATAGTTATAACTTAGGTAACTTCCCTCTAGAAGTTTCCCAAGTTGAAAAAGATTTAGGAGTGTTGGTACCCTACGACCTGAAATCATATACGAACTGTGACAAAAACGCCTCTCAAGCAAACCTTGCACTGATAACATTGAAGCGCATTTTGGCCAGTTTGACGGTAGAACCTTCCATATAATCTTCAACAGTTTTATTCGTCCCCACTTAGAGTACGGAAACATAGTATTTCCTCCCTCTCTCCAAAAGGATAAGGTCACTCTGAAACGTATACAACGTCGAGCCACGAAATCAGTTCGGGGTCTCAAATTCAAACCTTATGAAGAGCGCCTCAAATCACTTAACCTTTACCCGTTAGAGTACAGGCGTCTTAGAGGTAATCTTCTTATGACTTACAGTATCCTTAATACTTCTGGTCATCCCCTTAAACAACTTCTTAAGCTTAGTCATAACACTAACCTCAGAGGTAACACCCAGAAATTGGAGACCTTACATAGCAGAACAGACTGCAGACACAACTTTTACTCCGTTAGAGTTGTCAAGTGCTGGAACTCGCTGCCGACTGAGCTAGTCCAAGCGACCTCCCAGGAGTCCTTTAAGAGGAAACTTGACTTATTCTTAGGGACTAAGTATAACATATTATGATTTACCAAACTCTTTTTTTCTCTATTATCGTTCATATACCTAGGTTCTTACCTGGAGGTATTGGTGATCCACTGCTACCAGACACGGAAGCCCGTTAAGCGAAAGCTTCTTCTATTCCGTCCTCAACCATTTGAACCATTTGAATGACTATACGTCCTGCACTTAAGTGTCTGCGTTACCTATGTCTTTTAAAAGGATAGGATGAGAAGCAATGTGCGTTTGCAAGTATCTGTTTCACAACACTCGAAATAGCACCAGTTTAACATAACATTTCGAAAGCTGTTCTTGGCAAGGGGTATTAGTCAGTCATATCCTTTGGTTATGCAATTTATTTGCCAAGCTGACTACTCAATCACCCTATTTTGGGGTAGCTACTATAGAAAATATCAAAGTAGTAGCACAAAACCCCCAAAACTTCCACAGGTCTGGGAAAACAATCGAATTTATGTGAAGATCACGAATTATCACTTGACTTTAGGGGAAACCCAGATATTCCCCCATAATCGAGAGGTGGGGACATTGTCAATAATATTTCCAAGGTCTGTCAGGCTAATAAAATGGATAATATAAAGCGAAATTTCGGGAGTACACTGCAGAAATTTTGAAAGAGTCTGTGAATATAGGCTACCATGAATCACATTGTAACCCTAATTAACGCTAAAAGTTTTTCACCAGCTCAATTTCACAGTTTCGGGTTTTCCCTAAAATCATAAAAATTCATAGTTTTCCCCAGTCTAAAGGAATATTGTGAAGGACCTAACATTCATTCGAGCGTTTTGGTGATTTCCTCAAAATAACTCGCACGTTTTGTGAAAAACTCTTGACCATGAAAGATTTGGGGGATCTAGTTATATTTCCCTTAGATTTCCTGTTGCTGTCTTTCTATGGTTTTCCCGTCGTTGATAAAATCCCCCGAAAATAGGGAGATTGGTAGTCTGGGGCAAGTAATGCGGATTTTTCCCTATGTAAGCGAAAAATGCTGAAGTTATACCCTAATCCTCTTCGAAATTAAAATAAAGTTGTCTACTGTTTATCAGTATTAACACGTCGAATAGTTAAGTTAGCTCGAAATTCGGCAGGATTGTCTACCAAAGCAATCACTTTAATAGACTTCTTAGGTATACTGCTGTACACCTAAGGCGTTTGCCTTTATTTTCCCCAGGACAACCAAATTTTCTACCCATTTGTTATAATTCAAACAATTGATTTTTATGATGTGAATAATTTGTCAACAAGTTTCACACAAATTTTTCAATATTATTTAGGTTTCTGTGACAGTTAAGTGTTAGTATTGCAATTAACCCGAAAGATTGTCTTCAAACATAATCTAAAATAATGTAGTTAATGCGAAATTTGTTAAACATGTGTTTATTAAGGCTTCTTAGTTAAAGTAAAATACTAATGCTTAAATATACTCTCACCTTTTTCCAAATACAGGCAGATGAGATCATAGTTGTGTGTTATGCATCGTCCCAGCTGCTATCTCGATATAAATCTGTGGTCGAAGTGAACTTTGGCTTTAAATTTGGTTCAGTGTGACTAAACTAAGAAGTGATATGGTTTCACAAAACGTCCAACTGTTGATCTGGATCTTGCTAGATCTAAATTAGGTTCCTTGGTTTTGGTTTTGGTAACTGGTAAATGAGTAGCATCCTGGTACATTTAGCAGCACTGAATAATACACTCACTAGATAACAATCAGTTGCTTCGTACGAATTGAATGGTCCCATTGTCAGCTTGTTTCACTATTTTTGTTGGTTCTATTTCTTTGTAATCCTTTAAAGAGTAACATATTGAACAAACGGATGGGTGCATTGCTTCAAGCTGACCAACTTCGTTCAATTTTTGTCATAATGATAATGTTTATCTCTGTGTTATAGGAACCGTTTCCGAAAAGGTCTCAGATAATCGAACTGCCAACTGATGGTCCTACATGTTCACATGGTCCTATGTTGAAAATAGTTGATCAGATCTCCAATTCATCTCAATATGCTTGTTCGGCATTTCGTGATAAAAGTGAATGTGCGAAACAAGACTTGTACCAAAGCAGTACCTTAAAAAATTGGTCATTGGAAGATGTTTTCGGAATAAGCCAGTCAGATAGAGCCTATTGTTACACTTGTGATTGTTTGTTTTCATTGTCATTGAGTGGAAAAAAACATGAAATGCACGAGTATAGGAAAAATCTATCAAATAATCTGTTGGGAATGCCATCATACCTGTTAAAACCACTGGAAGATTCTAAGGCTCATGCAGTACGTCTTGTATTCTACTTACCCACAAGTCTTCTAGCAATATTTTTTCTCTTTAGATAGTTTGAATCGACTGTATTCCATCATTCAAAAACTGTCAGTAAACTATGTCATCTGTATTGGTTCACCACGTCTACATGACTTCATACAACTTCAGCGCATACATAGAGGACAGTTATTAGACTCATACTTATTAGATATGGACTTTCGACTGGTAAGTGCATATTTATTTTTTTGATTTCAGCAGTCTAGTTTCTATCATCTAGATCGTTTCTCACGGTATAATATGGTAAATGGGTTTTTCTTCAGTCAAATGGAAGAAGAAAATTTTCGTCATTTCATGAAAGATAATATAAAACCTAGTGATAAATGCTCCATATTTTGTGATCCTCCATTTTCTGCACCATTATCGCTAATTGTGAAGCAGATCAGATTTTTAAGCAATTCAATAAGACAGTATATTTCAGGTTTCCAAAGTAATGTGCAATATACGATAGTTACACTTTTAGTTACTAAGAGTAATTGCGAGAGTTTAAATGAAAACGATATTCCATACCTGCTAGTTCTCCCATTTTTCTTCGAGAAAAAGCTGCAGAAGATTGCTCCATTTTTGAACTTGCTGGATTATAAAGTAATCAAGTGTTGCTAATACTATTACACGTAAAGATAACTTATGAAAACCACTCAAGATTGGATTGTGATATCAGTGATGATCGAAACCACATGAATTTAAATAATAAAATTGGTGATAATTCAAATAGAGGACAGAGGCGCGACTCGATTGTCCGCTTATTTACAAGTTTACTTCCTTCTTTGGTCCATCCACCTAAATCAATTGAGAAATGTTTCAGGTATTTCCTAGTTATTTAGTGTATATAAACTGAATATCATGTTTTGTGTTGTTGATTGTCAAATGTACAGATTGGATAGTCGTAAAGACGGAATTTAGTATGTAAATGTTTTAGATGACGTCGCTTCACTGAATAAAAAATATGCAAAGATTGTGTACTAAGTGTTAATACAAATACAGACAGACATTAGGTAGAACATAGCAACTATTAATTTGTAGAAAATAAGCCAATAGAATAAACATAAAGAGTTATTGTTTTTTCTGTGTCACACCGCATTAATTTCACCATTCCCTTCTTCCATTTAGAGATCCCTGCAGTGTCATTAGGCCTCACACATCTAAGGTGTAGCTCAAACCGAGAACATCAAACTTCACCTTGTAATTGAGTTATATTCTTATTACCTCAGCTGCAAGATACGTCATTTAAGCACTACAGGTCAACCTGAGGACATCTAGATAAATGAAGAAATCTCGAGAGATCATATGAATATTTTTTACTTGTAGTAGCTTATCTTAAAAATGAGGAGAGTGAACAACTTTGATGAGTGTCGTATGAAGTGATTACCCTTTGTAGTGTCTGGCGCGACTACTAGAGTATAGATTTGTGTATCCGACTCTGAACCACAATATTCTGTCCTATTTATTTATTTATTTAAACACATAAATATTGGTACAAGGAAGCACCAGATACATATGCGCCATACAAATCTCATCCGATTTGCTTGAGGGCTGTGATACTGCCCAGGTGCCAGAACTGAAGCAGGTGGTTTTCTTAGGGGACCACACCTGGAGCCTTTGACCTAAATGTCTGATCCACAAGGCAGTGGAGCATCTTAAGGAGATGCAGTTCCATGGTAGCCGGTGATCAACGGTTGATTCGTACGCCATTTGTTCCTTCAGGATACTGGAGCCCATGTGCACCATTGGTTTTGAATCAGGGTTTTCCAACTCCCCTAGGTGGACCCTCCGTGTCCACCAACCCGGTTAAAGCGCCGGACATTCGCTTTTCGTCCTCTCACTTTCGTAAACAACACCCCCGCCATGAGAAGGCAGTGAGTAGGACTTCCCTGGCAGAGGCCATATATTCGCTGGCCATGTGAGAGCATTTCGAGAGGGAGAGGTGACTCTCCCCACTGTCGGCCATACCAGGGCATTTGGGGCTCTGCCCTATGGTGACAACAATCGAACCAAAATATGTTTTTGTTCAAATCCTCAGTAACTTTACGAAATTGTTTGATACATCTCCCAGCAGCATACTACTGTACATGAGTTTGAGGTAAGCATTGCAAGTGAAACTTGACGAAAACGATCATATGTACGCTTCGAAATGTGATGTAGAGTGAAAGTTTTATTAAAACACTCATAACCAGTCTTAATACGCCTTATTTCCCAAGATTCTTTTCTCCTGAACTCCAATTAGTCGTCCCATGTTTATTCAGTCCCAGACTATATAAATTACATTGACCAATCTGGTTTCTGTCTGGTTACCACCGCAGGATTTCTGTTCATTATTATGAACAAAAATGATCACCCAATTAGGGTTAAATATGAATATATTTGCATCAGTGGAGAAATGACCGAAACTGCAAGTTCATTTTCGAAGCCTAACCAAATAAAATCCTCATCGATTCAAAGAATAACCCACTAGCTTTGGTTTCCTATGTTTTCATGAGTTTAGGATTGAGAATTAATCTGTGAATAGCACTATCAATTGTTAAAATATAAAAAAACAGTTATCTAATACTTCTTAACATTAAATGTTTCTTTGTTATAAACTCATATATTATAGTTTCAAGTATAATGATTGGTTCTTGACATTTAGGTTTTGTGAAATTTGTCAACGTTATTCGCACATAACAAATCTACACTGTTCTAAATGTGACCGTTGCACCACTAGAGTGAGTTTTACCTAAGAACACTTTATCCAATATTACTATGACATAAATAACTGTTCAATGACCTGGTAATATTTAAGCATCTGAAGTGAAGTACTACAAATTCGCTTTCCATCTGTCGCCTCGGTAAACTTATTTTACGTGCGTTTATCCGGGGACCCTGTGGTATCTTCTGGTTTTTCTGGCGTCGATGTCGCAATAAGCGCTAGAGCTGAAGCAGCACCAATCGATTGAATCCCCACTAACAGTCAGTTATATGTTGTTAAATTAGAAAGTTCCATCAAAGCAAGAAAAAACCGGTGTGAGAAACGATGTCTTTTTGTCATCTCCGCCTGTGCTCCGATAGATTGTAGCCCAGATTCTACCGAGGATGAGTTTTGTCACCAGCTAACAGTTATTCTACAGAAAGTTCGTTCGACAGATATTGTAGTACTAGCCGGAGATTTGAATGCTCAGGTCGGGTGTCTAGGCACAAAAGAGAGTAGTTTAGGTGGTCTATGGGGACTTGTTGGTCGCAGGACAGGTAACATGGACCGTCTACTGCAACTGTGCACAAACCACAACCTGTTTCTGGCTAGCACTAACTACCGACACAGTCATCGCCGATGTGCCACCTGGCGCCCTCTCTACATCTCAAGTTTGGACCCAGATTGATCACATCGCGATCAGTTACCGCTGGCGTGGTAGTGTATAAGATTGTCGCTCCTTTTAGAGTACCTATCTGAATTCTGATCAAGCCATTGTTTGCGCTAATCTTACCTTGCTTTTCAGTGGCCAAAAAGTTCGTCGTCTTAAACGGATCGATGTCAGTAAATCGGTTGCAGATTCTGTTGCAACTAAATATCAAACCAATCTAGCTTCTAGGCTAGATAACACTTCACCGAAAAGTATAAATTACCATTGGTTGCAATTGCACGACGCCATCAAAATGGCGAGTAAAGTCGCTTCCGGCTTCGCGAAACGTCCCACTTATAAGCACTGGGTTTCTCTTGGATCCTTACAACTCATCGAAGCCCGTCGGTCTACTCCAGATGACCGTGAGTTCGACCACAAACAAAGGCTGTTACGTAATGAATTTGGGCGAAGCTTGCCTAAGGACCGAGAAGCCTGGTGGTCGTAGCGTGCCAATGAGTTGGGAGCAGCAGCTGCATCTGGTAACTGCCGGAAGCTCTTTTAACTCATCTGAGCCACTGGCAGCAAGAAGTCTGGTGTGAGCGACTGACCCACCAAATGAAAAGGAAGTTCTCGAAAAACTTCAACTCTCGAGAAGCGCTACAAATTACCGGGACCAGACGACTTACTTCTGACCCTTTTTAAAGATAGTAACGACCTTCTGGTTAAGGAACTGACCGTTGTTTACAAAGGTTTAGGAGTTAGTGTTCCAACGTCGTGGAATGAGTCGATAATTGTCCCTATCTTTAAAAAGGGTTCATGTCGTTTCTGCAACAACTGTCGAGGAATGTGTCTGCTTCTGATTGCGTCCAAACTATTGGCTTCCGTCATACTTCGTAGATTGTTCAAAACCCGAGAAAGATTGACTCGCGAGGAACAGGCTGGTTTTCGTTCTGGTCGAGGATGTATTGATCATATCTTCACTCTCCGCTAATGTTAGAAAACCGTCATACAATCGTAGTGTTTCTTGATATCAGGGATGCCTTCGATTCGTTGAACAGGACTGCTCTCTGGGATTGTCTACTGAAGAAGGGTGTGTCTGAGAAGTTTATTAACTTCCTAAAAGCCCTATATACAAACACCTCAGGTAGAGAGGGCATACAACCACCTTTCTCCCTTGTTCCATTCGAGCAGTGGGGTTAGACAGGGCTGCCCAATCTCACCATTCCTCTTCAACTTTGCTATCGATAGTATTCTGAAAACAGCTCTGATGGATGTAAGTAATGGCGGTGTGGATCTGCTGCCTGGAGAACGACTTCTCGACCTCGAGTATGCGGATGATATTGTCTTACAGTGCGATAATGTCGTAGCCATACAAACCTCACTTAATCAGTTAGCAATCAGTATCCATAGGTGTAGTATGTGCTTTGCACCTTCGAAATGCAAAGTACTTCTACAAGACAGGCAGGATTCTAATCCTGTAAACACCTTGGGTGGTGAGCAGATTGAAGTAGTCGAGAAGTTCGTGTATCTGGGTAGCTATATAAGTGCTGGTGGTGGCTTGAGTGATGAGATTGATTTACGTATAGTGAAAGCCAGAGCGGCTTATGCCAATCTGGGCCATCTTTGGAGCCTTTGTGATATTAGTCTGGCTGTAAAAGGTCGGATCTACAACGCGTCGGTGAGAGCAGTTTTGTCGGTTATAAATCTCGTGGGATCGTTTTGCTCTATGCTTGTGAAACCTGACCTCTCCGAGTTGGGGATGTTGGAAGACTCTGTGTTTGATCATCGTTGTTTCCGAAGGATTGCTGACATCCAGTGGCAACACCATGTTAGTAATGCAGAGGTTAGGCATCATGTGTTTGGGCGCAGAGACGATAGTTCAATTGATGTCACCATCTCTAAACATCGACTTCGATGGATTGGACATGTTCTACGAATGTCGTCCCAGAGAATTCGACGTCGTGCACTATTTGCCGACTCTGGGATTGGTTGGAAAGGGCGGAGAGGTGGTCATTGTGTGATATGGTGTCGTCGTATGAGAGAAGGCTGTACAGGATTGGCTTTTGTCGATCCTTCACGACTCCCTAGTTGGGGTTCTAGAGATGCTGCGATACAGTGGCTAGAGAGGTTATCAGATATGGCTCAGAATGGAAGCCAGTTGCGATACTGCTGTAACTTTATTTTACTCCAAAACAGGACGTGACTTTTTAACTGGAATAATTCTCTCTGGGTGTACTTTTGCTAATTGAACTATCTCTCTCATTATTATTATTATTTCACTATCATACACTAATTTTTATTCGTTACTGTTCCTTTTTTTCTTACACACACTTACATTCTTTATCTCCTCACATTCTCATTATTATTGTGTGGAGCGTATGTATCTAGTGCCTCTTTGTACCAATACTTGCGTGTTTAAATAAATAAAAATCTGAATAATTATACACATCCTTTCCTACTTCTTAAAGTTAACATACTCTGTTCGTATTTTTCCATACTGTGCTTCGAACCATGTCTGTAACTTTTACTTCTTTCATACAATTACTTGTAATCACGATTTCGCTCACTAAAGTATCACTACCATAAAATCTAGCTGGTTTGTAATGTCAGTGTGTCGGGATTCTATGTGAAAGGTCATTTGGTATTTTCAAATAATGGGGCGGTGGCCCAAAGGATATGCGTTTAAGTTTCATCCAATAATTTCCGTGTATCAAACTCACTCCGCCTACTTCAGTTTGGGTAGTATCACTAGCTCTTACACCTTGAGTCTGGTTCATACTGAAGTACCAGGTGAATAGATTATTTATCTTATTCCCAAATGATATTCTCTTCATTATTCACTGAAAAATATTAATAGTGCATTAGTATACCGTACCATAATCTTGCCTTAGTTCTCAGTCGTTTAGTCTTTATAGCAGAATTAATTATTTTACGGATGGATGGCCGGTGTTTTTAAAATATTTAATGAGTCATTCCTATCAACTTTAAAATAAAAATAAATATATAGTGTTCACTCATTTTTTATGAATATTTTCCATTTCAATATCCTAATCTAGAATGGACCAACCTATGTACACTGTGATAAATGTAATCGTTGTAGACCTGCAAAGAAATTTCATTGTAATCAATGTAAACATTGTGTATCTATCAATCAGTGTGTTCATCAATTCAAACGCAAAAAGCTCTCTTACAATACACCTGATAATGTTTAATTTGTAAAGTAATATTTATTCAATAAAATATTTTTCTACTTTAAAATCTTTAATTTTTTGGAATGGAAATATTATGCTTGATTTCATTGATCATGTATGTTGACCGACATTTGCACATACACTTATTAGGCTAGCTTGTGTTTGATGAGGATTTCTTGTCGTTATTTTGCTTCTGTATCCTATCTTTGTAATTGATACTTCATACGAGAATGGTTAGATTCTTGTTTTGTTTTTTTTAATTGGTGTATTTAAGTACCTATCGGGTGAGAGCTGTCTTTTACATTGTTTTCTTTAGATTAGCGTTAAAATGTTCCTTAGTGAACTTTTACGACAATGTATAATCATAACTAAACTAATATATGAGAATGGCGGACATTTTACCGAAAATGGAATAATTCATGTTAACTTATTAGAAATTTACTTTTAAATGACCTCGTTAACAGATTCTTAAGTTATTATGTGCTTTGATTAGTTTCTGTACAAACAAAGGTATGAGTTTTTCTTATATGGAATAGTTCTTAAAATATTGCTTTTAGATGATAAGAAGAGTTATCTTCAATAAAGAAATTTCTACCAAACTTCACCCAATTTAAAGTGTAACTCCATTATCTCATAAATATCATTTTCTCGTTGTTACGCGTAACATTACACAAATATTCGCATTTCTGACTGATTGTTTGTATACTTGGTTCGCTAATTCTTATCTAGTTTTGCTGAGTCTTATAAGCTTAATTAGCCTAGTAGCATATCTTTAAGTGGTTCCGTTAGCCATTTATATTAGTCCCATGTTAGTGGGACATAGATTGGATTAAAACATGTTTCATGCATGATGATGTTGCTGCGCGCTGATTGGCTAATTCTAAACCGATCAGCCCGGGCATATTATTGGAGAAAAAATCTAGAAGCTTCTTATGTATATACTATAAATATATGGACGTTATTCAAACTAGTGACTGCTGTTCACTCACTATTGTTTTTTTGAATACAATTTCATTCCTGTTCAACGTGTTCTGATTTTGGGGTCTTGTTGAGTGTCATTGTATAAGAATACTAAGCAATAGGAATAGCTGGGTCGTTTAGTAGCAAAATACTATTATAACATCCCAACAGCAGCAAGGGTGAAGATTGTTTATGTAGACTACTTCATTTATCTGGTGCACTGCGTTATTAGTTATGAAACATTTTAAAACCTGAAGTGAAATCCCATGAGAAAACTGTGTATACTTAGTTCTCAGTTTGTTTTATTATGCACGATTTTTAAAAAGCAATCAAGGGAAAGTTGTTGGTTTGCAACAGTAATATTTCATATAGGACGTAAGCAGATATTCTATCATCATGTGCTTCTATTTCGCACACACTTAATTAAATATTTTACTTTTCGACTGTTATACGCTTGCGTCGTTAGTTTTAAAACGTTTTTGGTTTCCTTCCGATGTGCTCAATTATTAAAATTCTTGCCCTCAAGTAGTTTCAAATAGCTAAGATATTATCATGCAGTGTATGTAGACGGAATCACATTGCTTTTTCCCTTTTAGATATTATTCTGTCGAGTATTGGTCTGCATTTTACCTCAAAGTAGTTTTAGGTACAAGTTAAATTAGTTTTAGAAACAAGAGGTTTCCATTCATGAATCCGTTACTTGAACGTCATAATTGCATAAATAATAGTAATGGTGTACCTGCAAGACTATAATTTATGGGCAAGCCAATAAGATTTAAGATAGCAAGCTTTGGATTTTGACGCGCAGTTCATTTATCCATCTGAGTAAACAGCATTTTGGCATTGTAGCTGACGCGAGTTCGTGACGGAAACTGTAACTCTAACTCTTAAACCCTAACTTCTAACTGCTCACATTAATTTACAACCTTCATTTAACCGTAGTAAGTAGATGGATATTTTTAAGGCCACCAAAGCATCGCTCAGACGTCGTCCATAGATTACAGTCTCGCTTGATGTACCTGTTTTATCTTGAGACTTGTTCAGTTTGGTCTACGCTAATCGCCATTAATGGACAATCGAGGTTATTATTATACGAACGGAATCTGTTAAGAACTTGATAAGATGGCAACTGACTCACAAAACTCTCTCACAGTAATCCAATTGATGGAACCCATAAAGTAGACAGCAGTATAAATAGGAACCTGATGTTTAATGAAAATCAAATTAAAGTGGAATGACTATATATGCAACAACTAAATAGAACTTTGGAATAGACAAATTAGCTAACTTAATGTAGTAATAATGAGTCAGAAAATAGCCAAAGTCGTGCACCAACACGAATTAAGAAAATTGTGATCTCTGTTATCGTTACAAAAATGAACGAACATTTATTCACAAACGTTAGATGACGTGGATTCTTCTTAGCAGTAACTTGTTTATTAAGTGTAGGCTTGTGTACATGTTCGTTGAGTCACACTATTCTTATGAGTTAGTAGTACTAATCAGCTGCTCAAACAACTAAGTTGGGATAAAGTTTGAATTTATCACTTAAAAGCTAAAAGTTGAACGTGTTAGCCTCTGCCAAGGAAGTCCTACTCACTGCCTTCTCGTGGCAGGGGTGTTGTTCACAAAAGTGAGAGGACGAAAAGCGAATTTCCGGCGCTTTAACCGGGTTGGTGGATGTGGAGGATCCACCTAGGGGAGTCGGAAAACCCTGATTCAAAACCAATGGTGCACATGGGCTCCAGTATCCTGAAGGAACGAATGGCGTATGAACCAACTGTTGGTCACCGGCTACCATGGAACTGCATCTCCTTAAGATGCTCCACTGCCTTGTGGATCAGACATTCAGGTCAAAGGCTCCAGGTGTGGTCCCCTAAGAAAACCACCTGCTTCTGTCTGTGTACGTGGGCAGTATCACAGCCCTCACATAAATCAAATGAGATTTGTGTGACGCATATGTATCTGGTGCTTCCTGCTTCCCCCCACACACACACTAATTGCAAGCTTTGATCTTAGTTCAAACATTTACTTTTCATTAATCCCAAATCTACTTATCTTGTCAGTTAGCTTGATTGTACTTTTCATTTCTTTTATTTGTTTTTGTAGATTCCGGCATCCTACATCTTCCATGAGATCCTTATATTTTAAATTTAGGAAAAAAAATATGACCAACTGAATTATCTTGTTTGATCTTTATTCATTCTAATCATTTTTAAAGAGAATATTCTTTATCGTTGTTGTTGTTGTTGTTGAGTCTATGATCGTGGTAGTATTTCGTTATTTTCAATTAAGTCTAACAAATTTTTTATAATGCTGTTACCAAATGTCAATAGTTCTTATTGTTTTAAATATTTTCTTGTATGTTTCATCATTTTCTCAATGATATTTTTTTATTATTATAATAATACTACTGCTAATTTTAATTCATTATATAATATGATGATTATTTCAAATGAAGAAGATACAAAACAATTTCACCAATCTTATTATCAATTACCATTGTATATAAATAAACATTGTACATATTCTACATGTTTCAATATAAGTAATTGTGTTCATGAAATGATTGGCAAATCATTACATCATATCAGAGCTTATATGTATCCTTTAAATGATAGTTTAACGTTTACAAGCTTTAGTCAACAATTTATATCTTTATATAATACCGTTTTATCTAGTAAATATTATGTAAATCAAATTGAAGAAGCATGTATTATTATTCCAGGATTAGATTTATTATATGCTTATCCAGATAATAATCAAATGATTGATTTATCTATGCGTTATTTACATCATTTGCCAAGGTTTGTTTTCTTTTTAAATTTATCGTTATATATAGAAAAAAAGTATTTGAGATAATTATGGAGATTGAAATTCATATAGTTTCAATGTTTAACCATGGTAATTGTTAATTATTTACTCTTGTTACCCCTGGTCGAGGAGCATGGGCCGCACACCAGTATTCTCCATCCAACTCTATCCTGGGCAATCCTTTTCATATCTGATTCTATTTCCCGGCGTAATGGGGTCGCTAACCCCATACCCAACTTTCCTCTTTTACTCGGGCTTGGGACCGGCAATAAATCTAGAAGAGCTACAGGCAGAGTTATGCCAATTGCTAGTTTGAGCTTTTCCAGTGAAATAATCAAAGTGTATTTGCATTCAGTTTAGTCATTGTATCAACTCTCTTGTTTTACTATTGCGTTAAATATTTTGATTTGGATAGATAGGTCCGGATCATAAAAAGTAGACTTTCATATTGTTGAGATCATGAGTCAATTGAAGCTAGACCACCATGGAAAACCTAGAAGCACTGGACGGCCGTTTCGTCCTATTGTGGGACTACTCAGCAGTGCGCATCCACGATCCCGCCTCGCGAGATTTGAACCCATGACCTATCAGTCTTGTGCGCGAACACTTAACCTCTAGACCACCGAGCCGGCATCCAAAGGTGTTAATGTCTAACTTCAACCAATCCACAAAATTGAGCAACCATTCACCAATGTCTTCAGTGAGTTGATATGTTCCAGCAGACCTGGTTGAACTCCACTAGTTGCACTGCAATCATTTAAATTTCAATCATTGAAGTTCTATCAAATATAATGCCTTCTATATCATCAGCACTAAATTTTTGTCAAAATTTTCGTTGAAATGTTAACAACTATTCACAGAAATCATTATAATCATTTTTGTTTCTTTTACTCAAGCTGGAACGAAGGAAAAAATCATTTAATTATTAATTTTCTTTCAAATGAAAAATTAAAATATTCTGCTTCAGCTATTCTTGCCAGTGCTAGTCATACAAGTTTAACGTTCAGATCGAAATTTGATATAGTTCTACCGGCATTTAATCCATTGATTAATGTAATGAATCAGCCTATTCATGAGAGGTAATAATAATATGGAATGAATTATTTTTTCTTTATGAACCTTCAATATTTAGTGTTTTTCCTCCAAAGATCTAAAATTTAGTATGAATTATCAGCATAGTGTGGCAGAGATTGTGGAATTCTATGAAAATCATGAACCGATCGATGTTGGACCACAATTTGGAACTCTTAAGTAGTATGCATCCAGACCCTCACATACGCGAATCGAAC